GAGGAGGAGGAGGAGGAGGAGGAGAAGGAGAAGGAGAAGGAGAAGAAGGGTTATGGGATCCTTGGTGCTCTCTGAGCTGGGTGGTTTTCTTGCAGACGTTTCATGACCCAACTAGGGAACATCATCAGTGCTAGAAGGGAGGGGGGATTTGCACACTGGAAGGGAGGAGGAGGAGGAGGAGGAGGAGGAGGAAGAAGGTTGTGGGCTCCTTGGTCCTCTCCAAGCTGGATTGATGATTTCCACAACCAGCTTAACCCCCTTCCTGAAATAAGCCACCTTCTCCATTCACACAACCCTCCAGACCAGCTTTCCGCTGAGTCTCCTGCAGCTAAGACCCTCCCTCCCAAAAAACACCCCCCTCCTCCCTTCCCCAGGGGCCCCTCCCAGTGGGGGACCCCCCCAGGAGCTGCCCAGGCCTTTGCCTGCCGAAGCCCCCGGAGGGGCAAGAGAAACCCTAATTGGGGGGGGGTGTCCCCAGCCAGGTCAGACCCTTCCCAGCTTTTGGGTTTGTCCGTGAAAAGGAGGCCGCCTTCAATCAGAGGCTTTGGCACCGCCAGACCCTCATTCTCGGTTTACCCGGTTGCCAGGCAACTGCCTCTCCAAGCAAGCCTTCAATTGGGCTGGGGGGGGGCATTAGCCAGGAATGGAGGGAGGGGGCTCCGGCGAAGACCCGGAGCCGAATTCTGCTCGGGCAGATTAGATGGGGAAGCCAGGCCGTATTCCAGATGTTCTCTCCAGGGGTTTTGCGGGATGAAAGGTGCGGCCTTTGAGTACATCACAACTGACATTGTGAAAAGGGAGGGGGGGTGTCTGATTTTCGCACTCGGCTCCCTTTCGGTCTCTGTCATGCTTGGAAGAGTGCCAAGAGACCCTTCTGGGCACCAGAATTGAGAGGCTGGGGTCGTCCTTTTCACACGAACCAGCAGATGCCTTCCAGGGGTCAGTTAAAGATGCAACGTCGCCCGTTTTCACGGCATGTAAACCTGGTTAGTTGTAACCGCAGTCAGGTGGTGGAGTTGTGCCTTAGCCATAAAAGCTGGCTGAGTGATTTGGGGCCAATCACCAGGAGACGGTGAGTTCTAGTCCCGCCTTAGAAAAATAAGCCAGCTGGGTGACTTTGGGCCAATCGCCAGGAGACTGGGAGTTCTAGTCCCGCCTTAGGCATGAAAGCTGACTGGGTGACTTTGGGCCAATCACCAGGAGACGGTGAGTTCTAGTCCCACCTTAGACATAAAAGCCAGCCGGGTCACTTTGGACCAATCACCAGGAGACAGTGAGTTCTAGTCCCGCCTTAGAAAAATAAGCCAGCTGGGTGACTTTGGGCCAATCACCAGGAGAGGGTGAGTTCTAGTCCCGCCTTAGACATAAAAGCCGACTGGGTGACTCTGGGCCAATCACCAGGAGACGGGGAGTTCTAGTCCCGCCTTAGACATAACAGCCGACTGGGTGACTCTGGGCCAATCAGCAGGAGACGGTGAGTTCTAGTCCCGCCTTAGAAAAAAAAGCCAGCTGGGTGACTTTGGGCCAATCGCCAGGAGACTGGGAGTTCTAGCCCCGCCTTGGGCATGAAAGCCGACTGGGTGTCCTTGGGCCAATCACCAGGAGACGGTGAGTTCTAGTCCCACCTTAGACATAAAAGCCAACTGGGTGAATTTGGGCCAATCACCAGGAGACGGGGAGTTCTAGTCCCGCCTTAGACATAAAAGCCAGCTGGGTCACTTTGGGCCAATCACCAGGAGACGGTGAGTTCTAGTCCCGCCTTAGACATAAAAGCCAGCTAGGTGACTTTGGCCAATCCTCCTCTCGCTCAGCCCAACCCACCTCACAGGATTGTTGTTCGCCTTCTTGAGTTCTGTAGACGCAATAAAAGCGGGATACAAATAAATTAATAATTTTTTTAAAAAAAAAACCTTCCCAATTTATTGAGACTTGTTGAGTTTGGTGAGAAAGACTTGCAACAACACGGATCCTTTGGAAGAAACTTTTTACGAAATCTTTCATTAGGAGACGGAAGCCCCCTGTTTTTTCCCTGTGAGAATAAGTATCGGAAAGAAGGAATTTGGGCCTAAATCCGGAGAAACCAGCTCTCACCAAAGTCTGTCAGTTGAGCAAAGCCGGGAAAAACACGGATGTTTATGGGAAACATCCGAATTATGGGAAACGAAACCTGTGGAAAGAAAAAAAATCCAGTATCCTCGCTTGGTTCAAAAAGAGAGAGGAAAGGGGACCAAGAAGAAAGATCTGGGCGTCGACCGAGACCCCCCTCAGGATTTTCTCCTGCGTGAAACGCCCCTCTGCCGTTGTGTCTGTTGTTGAGACACTTGTGTCTCCTGTTGTTGCTTCAGAACAATCTCTCGCGTCCGTGCGGACGGAGGCACGCCGCGTCCGGGAGTTGTAGTTGTGCGCACCAGGTGCAGCGCCGCAACCCGCCTGCCACGATTCTCGTTCGGCTCTTCGTGCCACAGAAGAAGCCACGGCTAGGAAACGGCCCCCTCGGTTTGCGAGGCCGGAGTGCACCACCACAACCGGAGCGCGTTATCACCCGGCGCCCGAACAGGGCCGCGCGGACGGTCCCCTCCGTCTTCCGCCTCGTCCTCTCCGCTCTCCGGCAGGTCGGGAAAATGCCGCTGGCCCGAAGCCGTGGCCAGCAGAGGGAGGCTGGGGTGGAGACTGAAAGAAAGAGGTGGGGTGGGGGGATTAGGAAGAAGAACCGGAGGCCCTGGGACCCCCAGGCTGCCACATCTGGAATGCCTGCCCTGCTCCGAGGGCCAAGGGTGACCCACAGCTGGAGAAGCTCTTGGAAAGAGGCCGATCCTGCGCCGGAAGCAGCACTTAATAGCGCGCGGATGGGGAGTCTCTGTTAGCGATCCGGAGGGAGCTCAAGAGGCTTTGCTTTTGCAAGATCCAGTCTGGGTCGGTCACCGGGAGCAGAACTTGTGGATGATGCTGGAGCCCATCTTCTCTCCCCTGGTGGCTTTATTCCCTATTCCTGTTCCTATCCCCTATTCCATTCTTCATTTATTCTATTCTGTTGCATTCTCTTCTCTTCTCTTCTCTTCTCTTCTCTTCTCTTCTCTTCTATTCTATTCTATTCTGTATTTTATTATTCTATTCGATTCTATTATTATTTCTATTTCTTTTCTATTCTATTATTCTATTCTATTCTATTCTATTCTATTCTATTCTATTCTATTCTATTCTATTCTATTCTATTCTATTCTATTCTATTCTATTCTATTCTATTCCATTCCATTCTATTCTGTATTTTATTATTCTATTCTATTCTGTATTTTATTATTCTATTCTATTCTATTCTATTCTATTCTATTATTCTATTATTTGTTATTATTCTGTTCTATTCCATTTTTCTATGGTGTAGGTTTATACATATGTTGTATATATAGCATGTTTAAATGTGTTTTATGTATGTGTACACTTTTGAGAGCAAGCAACAAAATTTCATTTTTAATATGTGCCAATGTGCCCACAGTAAAAAATGACAAAGGTTATCTATCTATCTATCTATCTATCTATCTATCTATCTATCTATCTATCTATCTATCTATCTATCTATCTATCTATCTATCTAATCTATCTATCTATCTATCTATCTATCTATCTCTGTCCGTCCGTCTGTCATCTATCTATCTATCTATCTATCTATCTATCTATCTATCTATCTATCTATCTATCTATCTATCTATCTATCTATCATCTCTGTCCGTCCGTCCGTCCGTCCGTCCGTCCGTCCGTCCGTCCATCCATCCATCCATCCATCCATCCATCCATCCATCCATCTATCTATCTATCTATCTATCTATCTATCTATCTATCTATCTATCTATCTATCTATCTATCTATCATCTCTGTCTGTCCGTCCGTCCGTCCGTCCATCCATCCATCCATCCATCTATCATCTATCTCTGTCCGTCCGTCCGTCCGTCCATCCATCCATCTTCTATCTATCTTCTATCTATCTATCTATCTATCTATCTATCTATCTATCTATCTATCTATCTATCTATCTATCTATCTATCTACCTGTCCGTCCGTCCGTCTATCTACCTACCTACCTATCTCTGTCCGTCCATCTATCTATCTATCTATCTATCTATCTGTCTGTCTGTCTGTCTGTCTGTCTGTCTGTCTGTCTGTCTGTCTGTCTGTCTGTCTGTCTATCTACCTACCTACCTATCATCTATCTATCTACGTACCTATCTATAGCTACCTACCTACCTACTTATCTATCTATCCATCCATCAATCTTTCTCTCTCTCTCTAGTATCTCTCTCTAGTCAGTCTATCTATCTATCTATCCATCTATCTATCTATCTATCTATCTATCTATCTATCTATCTATCTATCTATCTATCTATCTATCTATCTATCTATCTATCTATCTATCTATCTATCTATCTATCTATCTATCTATCTATCTATCTATCTATCTATCTATCTATCTATCTATCTATCTATCTATCTATCTCTGTCCGTCCGTCCGTCCGTCCATCCATCCATCATCTATCTGTCTGTCTGTCTGTCTGTCTGTCTGTCCGTCCGTCCGTCCATCCATCCATCTTCTATCTATCTATCTATCTATCTATCTATCTGTCTGTCTGTCTGTCTGTCTGTCTGTCTGTCTGTCTGTCTATCTACCTACCTACCTATCATCTATCTATCTACGTACCTATCTATAGCTACCTACCTACCTACTTATCTATCTATCCATCCATCAATCTTTCTCTCTCTCTCTAGTATCTCTCTCTAGTCAGTCTATCTATCTATCTATCTATCTATCTATCTATCTATCTATCTATCTATCTATCTATCTATCTATCTATCTATCTATCTATCTATCTATCTATCTACCTACCTACCTACCTACCTACCTACCTACCTATTATATGCCACCCATACGGTCACCTAATGGCCCTAGGCAGCTTCCAAGAACCATTTTCCTTCTCCCATTTTCAGTCTCCTGCAGAACTTCGACTCCCAGAATCCCTAACTAAACAGCTGAGGATTCTGGGAGTCGAAATCCAAGTGGTTAGGACACAACAGGGCGGGGTCTTTCTGCTTACTTGGGGCCAGCACCCTCCGGGGAGAGGGGTGGGGCAGAGGCAGTCCGACACCCCAATGCACACCCTACAAGCTTTGGGGTTACTCCTCACGGCCCCGCAATCCCCTGTGGGAGCCCAGGCAGGCCCTCCCTTCCTCCCCCCCAACGGCCACCCGAGCAGGATTCGTACCTGATGCCGTTCACGCAGTCCCCCACGGCCTGGAACTGCAGGGCTGGTGGCAACACAGCCGGGGGGTCCCCGGGGGGAGGCTGGGTGGTGTCCCAGACCGTAACGAGGCCGTTGGTGTTCCCGCTCAGCAAATACCGCCCGCTCCTGCCGGGGGGGGGGGGGAGAAAGCCACAGGAATCCTGGGTAAAATAGTCCTTGACTTACGCGCCGCAATGGAACCCCAAAGTTCCGCTCTTAAGCGAGACCACCGTTCGGCGACTTTTGTCCCCGTTTTACGACCTTTCTTGCCACTGTTGTTAAGTGAGTCGCTGCAGTTGTGAAGCTAGTATGACTGTTGTGAAAGTGAATTTGGCTTCCTTGTCGCTCGTCGGAAGGTCGCCAAACGGGGTGGCGTGACCCCCCCCCGGGATAAGGCAACCGTCGTAAGTATGAGTCAATGGCCAAGCGTCTGAATTTTGATCCCGTGATGCTGCTCCTCTTCCTCCCCCACTCCTCTTCCTCCTTTCACTCCACACACCCCCACTCCCTTCTAGCACTGATGATGTTCCCTAGTTGGGTCATGAAACGTCTGCAAGAAAATCACCCAGCTCAGGGACCCCACAGTCCTCCTCCTCCTCCTCCCACACTCCCTTCTAGCACTGATGATGTTCCCTAGTTGGGTCATGAAATGTCTGCAAGAAAACCACCAAGGAGCCCACAGTCCTCCTTTCTCCTCCTCCTCCTCCTCCCTGCAAACCCTTCTCCCTTCTAGCATTGATGATGTTCCCTAGTTGGGTCATGAAACGTCTGCAAGAACAACAAAGATGATTAGGGGACTGGAGGCTAAAGCATATAAGGAACGGCTGCTGGAATTGTGTATGTCTAGTTTAATGAAGAGAAGGACGAGGGGGGACATGATAGCAGCCTTCCAGTATCTCAGGGGCTGCCCCAAAGAAGAGGGAGTCAAGCTCTTCTCCAAAGCGCCTGAAGGCAGGACAAGAAGCAATGGGTGGAAACTGATCAAGGAGAGAAGCAACCTAGAACTAAGGAGAAACTTCCTGACAGTGAGAACAATTAACCAGTGGAACCACCTGCCTCCAGAAGCGGTGAATGCTCCAACACTGGACGTTTTTAAGAAGAGACTGGACAGCCCTTTGTCTGAAATGGTCTAGGGTTTCCTGCCTGAGCAGGGGGTTGGACTAGATGACCTCCAAGGTCCCTTCCAACTTTATTAGTATTATTATTATTATTAGTTGGGTCATGAAACGTCTGCAAGAAAACCACCCAGCTCAGAAAGCACAAAGGACCCCACAGTAGTTCTCCTCCTCCTCCTCCTCCTCCCACACTCCCTTCTAGCACTGATGATGTTCCCTAGTTGGGTCATGAAACGTCTGCAGGCAAAAACCACCCAGCTCAGAGAGCACCCAAGACCCCAAAGGCAACAACCATCTCCAGGAGAGGAGCGCATCCCGACGGTCACTTACGGATCCAGGTCGAAATACAGCCTCTGATTGGTGCCCACCGTGCGGGACAGCGAGAAGACGACTTCGTCCGGCTGCCGTAGGTCCCAGCAGAGAATCTCGGCGTCCTGCCGGGGAAATCGCAGACCCTTACAAGGTGGAGGAGCGAGCTGGACTCCCGCGTCCCTAGCCCGCCTTCCCGACGCTCCAGACAACCCGGAACCGGGTTCAAGAGATGCGACGGCCACCACGCCACGCTGGGTCCCTCGGTCCCACCACCCACCGCTGGGGCCTTACCTTGCGGCCACCGGTGAAGAGGTAAAGGCCGTCCGGGGAAAAGGCGGCGTGGGTGACGCCGCCGCGGTGCCCCACGAGCATCGCCAAGGGGTCTCCCTCCGCGCGGGAGTAGAGGCCGACGGTCTTGGCGTACGACGTGCAGGCGTAAAGGGGCTGCGTCGGGCTGAAGGCGATGCAGGAGACGATCCCGCTCTGCCCTTGTTTCTTCACTGGGAGACATTTTTTTTTTAGGAAAATGTTATTGATTTTCTCGTTTCGCATTTGAAATATTTGGAAAGCAGCGTGGCGGCTGAGTTGGTCCATAATTCAATAACGTACAAATATCTTTTAATACAGATCACAAACTATGACATCGAATCGTTCCTCTCTTTTCCCCTGCCTTGGTATTTACTGTCTCACCTTTAAATTAATACAATTCTTATGATATCGATTTAATAAAAATAACGCTTCTTACATCTATCAATATTTTTTAGCTTATGCATATCCTAGATATTTTAATATTCAATCTCGTTAGACAATCAATGTCCTGGTTAGTTCTTCCCAATTTTTAGTTTCCCATTAATATTTAAATTTTTAATGTTTAATATTTATAATTCCCAAGTTTTAAATGAGGCCCAGTTCTATTAATCCAGGGGGTAGGCAACCTTGGCTCTTTTATGACTCGTGGACTTCAACTCCCAGAATTCCTGAGCCAGCGGGATGTGTCTACCCATCGATGTGCTTACTCTCTTATAATCCCTTCCTCTGCAATCTTTCTGCTATAGGAGGTAGGAGGGGAAAAAAAAGGCGTGGCTGGCTCAGGAATTCTGGGAGTTGAAGTCCACGAGTCATAAAAGAGCCAAGGTTGCCTACCTCCTGGATTAATCCACCCTTAAGACCCATAAAGCTATGAAAGGGGGGCTTTCTTGGGGCCGCCCACCCCGGTGCACTGAGCAACCCCCATCTGGAGACTCCCCTAAGGCCAGAAGACGGGCCGACGTGAACACCGGTAGTCCTCAAGTTACAGCAGTTTGTTTAGTGACCGCTGTTTTAGATTTTTTAAATCCTGCCTTTATCATGTTTGGAAATAACTCAGGTTATTTATGCAGCTAGTCCTCGACTTATGACAGTTCAATTAGTGACCGTTCAAACTTGCAACGTCACTGAAAAGAGCGACTCAGGAGCGTGGTTCGCACTTATGACCGTTGAGACATCCCCACGGTGATGTGATCAAAATTCAAATGCTTGGCAACCGACTCGTATTTACGACGGTCGCAGTGTCCCGGGGTCACATGATCCCCTTTTGCGACTTCTGACAAGCAAAGTCACTGAACGGCTCTGTTACTATTGTTAACAAACAGCGCTTCACTTAACAACTGCAGTGAGAGAGGTCGTAAAATGGGGCAAAATTCACTTAACAATTGTCTCACTTGGCTGAGGAAATTTTAGGCCAGGGGTCTGCAACCTTGGCCCTTTGGTGACTTGTGGACTTCAACTCCCAGAATTCCTCAACCAGCATGCCTGGCTGAGGAATTCTGGGAGTTGAAGTCCACAAGCAGGGGCCTTCAAACTTGGCCCTTTGATGACTTGTAGACTTCAACTCCCAGAATTCCTCAGCCAGCGTGAGGGAACTATGACCCTTTTATGACTTGTGGACTTCAACTCCCAGAATTCCTCAGCTAGTGTGAGGGAACTAGGACCCTTTGATGACTTGAGAACTTCAAATCCCAGAATTCCTCAGCTAGTGTGAGGGAACTAGGACCCTTTGATGACTTGTGGACTTCAACTCCCAGAATTCCTCAGCCAGTGTGAGGGAACTAGGACCCTTTGATGACTTGAGAACTTCAAATCCCAGAATTCCTCAGCCAGCGTGAGGGAACTAGGACCCTTTGATGAGTTGTGGACTTCAATTCCCAGAATTCCTCAGCCAGCAAGAGGGAACTATGACCCTTTGATTTGTGGACTTCAACTCCCAGAATTCCTCAGCCAGTGTGAGGGAACTATGACCCTCTTTATGACTTGCAGACTTCAACTCCCAGAATTCCTCAGCCAGTGTGCTTGGCTGGGGAATTCTGGGAGTTGAAGTCCACAACTCATCAAAGGGCCATGTATGAAGACCCCTGACTTAAAGGGACCACTTCTTTAACGATTGCAGATTATTTTATATATATGGATCCTTTACAGGAGAGGAACTTTTAAAAAGGGACATTGTCACGAGTCCCACAACAGCTCGGGACTACAAAAACCTTAAAACAAACACCTCTTCCCCCGTGACCCCACCCCAATTTACATCCATCCTGAAGTGGGGTCCCACTTCTGTCGTAAGGCAGCGATGGCTACATGGGTCAGTGGTCTTGATCAACTCCCCCCTCCCCAAATTTTGAGACGCCTTCTCCTGGACGTTGGCCCCATCTTGGTTCAGCTTTTGGTCTGATGCCCAGGCCTTTAATTCTCCCATGTCTTCATATGTATATGTATATGTATATGTATATGTATATGTATATGTATATGTATATGTATATGTATATGTATATGTATATGTATATGTATATGTATATGTATATGTATATATGTGTGTGTGTGTGTGTGTGTGTGTGTGTATCTCCAAATTTCTTTTTCTGACAAAGAGTTAAAGAATTAAATTGGGAGACTAACTGATGAAAGTAGAACGAGCTAAAAATGGCCATCTTAGTCTCCCAATTTAATTCTTTAACTCTTTGTCAGAAAAAGAAATTTGGATTTAAAATGTTTCGCAGTTGCGACTTGAGCCTGCTTAACGCCCCTAGTTGTGGGCTGCAAGGCAAAAGATATTGTAAAAAGTAAAACTGCAGTATAGCAGTTAAAAATGTCAAGGTGTAATCAATCAGACCAGTCTGTCTGAAAAACTTCCTGTATGTATGTATGTATGTATGTATGTATGTATGTATGTGTGTATGTGAGAGAGAAGTCTTTGGGCCGACAGGGTGCACCAAACTCAAGATAATATATATATTTAGTTGGTTTATTTATTCGTGGGATTTCCGCCCACTGCAGCAGAAAAAAGACTTTTGGCAGTTGACAATTCTCCCATCAAGTACGCAAAAAGGCAAAATAAATGGCAAGTTTTTCACACCTCACAGCTTTTCCCAAACAATTATCTCTTTTTTTAAAACGTTGGCGGCGAGCCAACGAATTTCGGGGAGGCCGTTGCGACGATGCGCAGCAAAGCAACGGGAAGACCAGGCTGCGGCATTCTGCCTCCCCCCGCCCCCGTCACTATGCAAGAATGGGGTGCCCTCCTACACTGAGGGGTGTGTGTGTCAAAACCAGCCTCTCTCCTTTTTAATTGCCATTTTTATTTATGACTTTGCTGCTTCTCTCGTCCCCCGAGCACACAGGGATTCCTCGACGTACGACCAACGGGACCCGGATTTTCCACTGCTAAACGAGGCGGTGGGTTTTACGAGCGTTTTTCGCACTGCAGCCGTTAAGCGAATCGCACGGTCGTTAAGCGAAGCTGGCTCGATGTGGCTTGTCGGAAGCCAGCTTGGGAAGGTCGCAAACGGGGATCGTGTGATCCCGGGACCCTGCGACCGTCATAATTACGAGTCGGTGGCCAAGCGTCTGAAATTTTGATCCCGTGACCAGGGGGATGCTGCGACTGGTCGTTAAGTGTGAAAAACGGTCATTAAGTGACTTTTTCCCACGGCTGTTGTAAGTTCCAGACTTCCAGTGGTTGCCCTCAATCCGAACGAGTGTCAACTCACCAAATGTGGGTCTGTTTTCGCACGACCGGCCGGGCCGCGATGTGTCGAACACGCGCACCATTTTGTCAAAGCCGCAAAAGAGCTGGGCGCCGTCAGGAGTGAAGCAGAGCGAGTGGGCGGCCGTCAGCTCGTCCTGGACCGAAAAGACAGACAGACAGTTCTCTGGTCAAGCTCT